AATCAAGACCGCGATAGTAATGTTCAGGAACATTGTCATTGTAAGGTAAAGTTAACTTATCATTTATTTCCACCGAGTAATGAGTGTATTCAGAATCCTTCGCGCGATTGCAATAGTTGATATGATATAGATTGGACGCGCGGAGCAATAAATAAAACACGATGCCGTGTTGAAGAACTTGCTTGATTAAACGCCACGCATCGCTGTTTATCCCAATTCAATCTCGCTATGATTTTTATTAGGCGCAGAGATTATCGTGTACTGTATCTAAACTGTAAAGTAATATCAAGTAAAATGTGTTGACAAACAGCTCGAATATAAAGTCGATTAAAATGACCAAGGTGAACTGAAATACAGACAATTTTGGCTTGTATATCACAAACAGGATTTCTGTACGTGTTTGCCTTTGACTGCAACCTCTTCCAATATTATATTAACTAAAACCTGAACGTATTTTCAATTGTAACAAATATAATGAGTTGTTTTGGTGATAGTTATTACATGCTTGTATATTAGTAATTGTTTGTATATTAGTAATCGTTTTAAATTAATCAAACTATTTAGGTTGTTATTTCCAGTTTTCGTTTGTCTTTTATGTGAAAATTAAACGTAAGTCTTACCCCTGCGACTACAAGTGTGCATGCGTTCCATACATACTGTATGCATCTTCAGCTATTTTGCACATTTTGCGTATGGATAGCGTGTTTTAACACATATTTAATACGTCATCTATTGGGATTTTGTAATATATACATAGCGCGTAACATGCTTTTCGTCATGCAGATGTCTGTATCAGCTTTCATTTAAATGATTTAAATGAATCTTATAAACATGTTAAGAATCAGGGAAGTTATATGTATCAACACTATGCAAGGCATGGTTTTAGAAAATTGTATGCCGACGTTAGCATTAATATAGGGCTGTTATAATTGATGCCTCGTACCTCGGACCATGCATCTTCAACTCTCTTTTTACGACTAGTGAACGAACAGGCGGAACATCTCGGAGTTAAGATAACCACGCGCGCTATATAGTTGCTGATATAAATAACAAGCGCGTGCTATACATTTGCTTAATTTTAATAACAACCGAAATATTTGTTAAATAATCTGTTCTTATAAATATAACGTCTATGGATTGATGTATATTATGTGCGCGGTAGATTACGAACCAGCCAAAATATTGTTTTCTAATATTAAAAGAATTGTTAATAAGCATCGCTTGAAAAATCCGTACTTTGATGACAATTAAGAACTATATAATTTAACAGCTGAAGGAAACATCTGGTTTACATTCACTGAGTGATAATACGTGGGTATTTCCTGACCCCTTGATCTTAGTGACGATCATAATTAAATTAAATTAGCAAACCAGATATATCTCCCACATTTTGCGTACATTATTTCATATTTCCTGCGTTTTGCACCTAAACTGAGCTAAGCCTGCATTACTGCGAAATTGCGTACGCACCAGGTGTTGTTGTGCAGATTAAGTATTGACAATTTGAGAGTCCGGTTTTAGTTGACAGTCCGGAAAATTACGGACACGCGTTTGTTTCTTTTAAAAATCTTATAAACAAAACGCGTAGTAACAAGTGAATCGGTACAAAGCGTATCAACGTTTACAAGAAAGGACGGTCGAATGCAATGGCGTATTTTAAAAACATTACAATATTAAAAGGTTTGTTATAACCGCGCTCGATTGTGAAGAGAGCATGCATTGAATAACAACGCAAGAAAGCACGTACTGCGAGTAACGATTTGCTTTGTTTCTTGACTTGACTGTAGGTAAAAATGTTCTTGTAAATTCAAAGCAAAGAAAATAAACAAAAATTAGCAAGTATTTTGAACGTAATAATTCGCAAAATTTATGTTTTTAACGAATGTTCCACTGGAAGCATGTTTATGTAATTTGATACTTTCCCCACACCCCCTCAGGCGCTAAATTTTTGATGAGGCGCGTGACCAGCCGCAGCTAGGGTCTTTCCCAAAGAAAGATCCTGTGTACGAGGTTGTTAGACTTGCTCCAAGTCTCTCTTTCATTGCCATATAGTATCAATCCACTATAGTGCACATTACATGACGTACTACGGAGGGGGGAGCAAGAAGGAGATACTTGTCAACTTCGGAAAATCTCGGTTGAAAACTGAACAGAAAATGCAAGACTTGCTTTAATTGTTTTCCTTCAATTTCTTTCTGTATTATTTACTATAATGGAACTCATGTTATTACACTGTGCTAGATCAATACATATGAACACTGACAGAAAACTATTAAAGCAAGTCTTGCATTTTCGGTTCAGTTTTGAACCGAGATTTTCCGAAGTTGACAAGTCTCTCTTTCTCGCTCTGCCTCTCAGTGCTACGTCATGTAATGTACACCATAGTGGATCGATATGACAATGAAAGAGAGACTTGGAGCAAGTCTACGGATCCGTCGACCCGCAAATTTTAGGGTTGGCGAAATGTAGGTCTGTTTTCAGGCTAATCAAAACCATGAAACGTTATGACACAGGATACTATACAGAAGTCAATTTCCATTGTTTTTTTGCGTAAGCGCTATTCGTCATGATTGATGATTCGTCACTCAGCAAGTACCGTAAACAGAAGCAGTCCCCCCCCCCAAGAGGTCGCCCCCCTGGTTATGATGCGCTAGCGCTTATAACGTTTGGTACAACTGGCCTGAAACTTAATATATTGATTCAATAAGTTTAATATCAATATATTTATTGAAAATTGGCTATTATGTCAAAATAAGCCAACTTTGGGTACTTCCTCGGGTAGAAGAATTTGCATCACAGATTACGTCATCAGTTAGTTATAGTGATTAGTGTTGGGGTTAGGGTAAGGATTAGGGTTAGGGTAAGGGTTAGGGTAAGGGTTAGATTAAGAATTAGGCTTAGAGATAGGGATTGGGTTATATCTGACGCCACAAACAACACAACTAGCCGATCACGTGATCAGTTCTCCTCTACCCGAGGAACTAGCCAAAACTTTAGATTATCACGCGAAAAGGCAATGTTTTTATGAGCAACTGTTCAGCGTTAGTTGCAGGCGACGGTAATATAAACAAGGTCAAGGTTTTATCGAAAGCGATTAACTGTTAGATTTCTTTTATTATTTTATCACTAAATGATGTTATTTCCTACAAATTTAGCTTTATTGTAGCCTTACTGAAAGTATAAAAAAACATGGAAACGGTTTGGAAACGATGAATTACTACAGAAAAATTGTTAATCTACGATTGAAATTATCGACGTAGAATGCTATTTCGTTGTAATTTCAATAGTATTAATGAGAATTTCGTTTGTTATTTTTAATATATTTCACGTTATTTACAAAATTTACTGCAGTTTTGAAGTTTTGCACACAATATAATCAATGCGAGCACAATAACTCCACTTCAGTTTGAGTACTATATTTAAATTTAGTATTTTGATAGCGTGCATGGCCTTTCACGCTATATAATATTACGCCTGATAAATAATCAGTGCGAGCACAGCAGCTCCAAAATCACAACAAAATAACAGAATATAAAGTAAATTAAAACAGCAAAGCTTTACCTACCTCGATGTATTTTTCTAAGGCGCTCGATTATGTAAATTTTCTGCGAATCTTTGCATTTGCTCGACGAAAACCATGGAAGAAAACGTGCACACGATTCAAAATTTACAATTATGCTTATTGTTATTATGCTCGTCCCACGTGATCTGCCGCAAGTTTCACCACCAACGGACACGAATTTTAAGCTATATGATAGTTGCATGCCATATATGGGCATGCAACAAAAACGCATCTGCGCCCATAGAAGGCATAATAGGTGCATATTATCTAAATTGGGGCCAAGAATGGGCATTTTCGAAATGATACGAACAAATAGAAGCATCGAGAAACAGACCTAAATACGGCAATTTGGCTTTTCATGTTTATTACGGTTGCGAGATTTGACCTTTCAACAGAAGTACTGCGTCATATGCTCATAGACATAGCACATTCCTGCTCTGTTTTATCTTTGGTCCACTTTCAACAGCCATAGGAAAATGTAATAGCTAAAATTGATATACTGTAGTTCAATAAGAGTTTGGTGTATAATAATTTTACTGTCCATTATAGGCTAAGCTTGTTGCTGTTATACTTACAATTAATATTTACTGTTATCTGTATTTGGAAATCGAAACCGTTTTGCTCGAGAACAAAGAATCTTTTAGAATAATTGATTGAACAATTGACTTTGTGCCACGCATATTTTATAAAAGTATTTTTTAATTAAATAATTAAACAGATACTGCTTGTAGCTGTAGCTGTAGCTACAACGAAATATTATAACCAATAAATAAATATTAGATTTCTCGGCTTTTTTATTCATGTTGTCTAAGATTTCTACATGACGTGTATGAATAGTTGCCAACAAGAATCGTCCCAGTAGTTTCTGGTATCAAAATTATTTTTGCTGCGAACTTGCAAACTATGAATATGAATCTATTCAATTGGTCTGCGTTACAGATACCAGGAACATGCAGTACAATCTTATTAACAAACCACCCTCGCCATCTTGTTTGATTTAATAACGCTTCAATACCCTGCATGCTGAATGAAAGATTGAAAGATGCTTCGAAACCGCTGAATACAACATACGCGTAAAGATATCCCGCTACACATGCAAGTTTAAAAAAGGCACACGCGGGATCCTTGCTCCTACTAAAAGAACATTGCATATTGTGCATACAATCCAATTATGCATGGGTACGCAATACTGATTCGCTTGTGTTTGGCAATTGTCCACACGAATTAAACAAATTTTGAAGCAATATTGAACGCCAAAGTCCTGAACGTTATTTAGCAACGACTAAAAAAGTGCAATATATGCTGTATGTAGAGGGTTCAAGATTGTTTAATTTTTTAATTTGGTTGCTATATGCGTTGGAAGAAAAAAATATAACTGACTAATCAGATGCGATTTTGGTTGACAGCTGCATTTCATGTGATTTGTTGAAATGTGTACTTTACACCAACCTAGACCCAGACCTAAATTTCGCTCTCTTTTCAAACTTAAATCTGAATGTTTATTTTTTAGGTTCTGATTATCATTTCATGAAGATTTTGGCGGAAAGGCTAGTACATGAGGAATGCAGGTATTTGTATTAATGCAGAGCCATCCAGTCAGGTTTGTATACATCTGACAAGGTAAGTTTGTCAAGGTTTGTATACATATAACGACACATGCATATATAATGTTTATTGTTGTATTATCACTTACTATAATTGTTTTTCTTGTTACATATTTGCTAACGTGAGTCAAAATGTTTGACAATTCATGTCAGCACATACATTCCGGTTTTTTGCGAGATTTTGCCGAGTATGGTCTGTGCGGGAAGGCATTGATTTGATGCCTTTCCTGAAAGTTACTTATCAGATAACTTTCAATTTTCAGACTATTTCGTTCTAAGGTTAAGATTAAATTGCAGCAATGAAAAATAGTTTGTTTTTTGCGAGATTTTGCAAACTATTTTACAACACATTGCTGAAAACAATCTTAAATACCTCGGAACATGTTATCTAGACAATATTTGTGCACACTGCTCAAATATGTGTATATATTTTTTCTATTTTGTTATTTAGGTATTTTAATTATAGATATAGCTCTTAATAATTCTGAATTTTCAGAAAGAGCGACATTACTGGTTCTAATCTTTTTCTTTTTGTGTTTCATTATTTCTCCAGACATAGATGAGTGTCAAAACCCGTCTCTATATTCATGCCCTCGTGGATTTGATTGTGCCAATACTCTCGGCTCCTATAAATGTGTTTGCAATGGAAGGATAAGAAATGGCGAATGCAATTATAAAGGTATACTGTAGCTTTGATATATTTTTGTATAAATATATATGCATGAGTGATTTCTAACATAAAAACCTTGTACCAACGTCGAGCAAGCAGTATAACGACACATATGTCCTAGTGAATGATGCTTTTGGTATTTTAAGGTAAATAGCGCGTACTGTACACAGCCGAAGTGTATCCATGGGAGATCCTTCCACTTTAGGACTAATTTTGTGACTCTTTCAAAACTAAGAAGAAGATTGGGGGGGGGGGCGTAATGTTTTAATGTTTTCATCTATGACATAAAATATACTAAATCCTTAGCTATCTAGTCACCATGAAGCGTACGTGTCTAAAATGCATGAAATTGCGTTTTGCCAACCCTGAAAATAGAAACATATTTCGGGGAACGTCGATATGATCCTCTCCCCACTTGTTTAGGGCTGGTTGCGCCTCTTGTATACGTACTATTAAAATTTAGAGACACTCTCGAAAATCTAAAACCAAGGTGGCCAATCTAAAAACAGGTGCCAAACAAGTAGAGAAATTCTACATGGCTCGACTGGAATTCGAATCCACAACCTTTAGTAGTCCCATGCTCGATCGACTGATGTACAGGTCAAGTTGGGAACCGGTCGTTGAAAGATTGTATTTCTAGAGCTTTTGATATTTCGATATTGGGTCTAGTTTCTTCGATATCGAGAAATTGTGAGTTAGAGTGAACTCGGGTGGGTATTAAGGTGGTGTTGGGAGCTACTCGGAGTAAAGAACCATACCGGATAAGTAGAGAAAACTCTAGTTGGCCCGGCTGGTATTCGAACGTACCCACGACCTTCAGTTTATTAGTTCGATGCTCTCCCGACTTAGCTACAGGTCATTTTGGGAGTAGGTCGTTGGAAGATGTTTAATTTATAGTTTTTATCATTTTCTATTTCAGATTACACACGCCATCGTTTGAACTTGCGTCTGAAAGAAGAATATACAAATGCGCTTAGTAACAACGCCTCTAAACAATTCAAGGCAATTGAGACCAGGATAACAAGCGCGGTTTGTGGATTTTAACAAAATATGTTTTCTTAGCTCCGGCTACTATACATGGAAAACACACGTTTGCGAATCTATATTCGCAAATTCAAACCTTGCTTTATTGATAATTCAGTTCGAGTTCTTGCAGCATTTGGAAGTATTAAACCTTTTCTTCACTAAGCGATTTTCTGCTGCGAAGCAAAATAACCATGACTTCCAACAAACAAATTGGCTTAGAGAAAAACTTACTTTATTGTTAAGGCTGTTTACCTAAGGCGAATTGAACCTCTGTTGTATATCTATGCTGAATCTGGGCACCTACAGTATTACTGACAAAATGGTGCATGGTAGACAGCTGCGGATACTAGTTTATTATGTTGATAATCAGTAGAAATTTTAAATTTGCTGTATGTAAAACCAATAATGAACTGTTTTTCCAGTGTAGGTAGGCAGCAATGAGCTACACTATATTACTGGAGGACGTGATCGGCATAAAATAGTGAAGCCAAAAACATGGCAATTTTGACGCCATTCCCATGGCAACTGGTTCCTTTTGGCCAGGAAAATACCACTGACAAGGCTAATTTCTAAGCCCACTGCATTTTTCACCCCCCCCCCCTGATTTTTGCAAAAATATTCCTAGGTTTTTCGAGTTTTTGCAGTGAAAACACTGTTATTAAAAAACACTGTTATAAAAAAATATGAAATAATATCGTAATAAGCATTTATTTTTAGCGCGAGAAACGTTGTACAATATAGTGAATATTTTAGCCACGATTATGTAAGTCTTGTCGTACAAATATACAGAAATTTTACCACACTTCCTCCGATCCCTCAAAGTGCAAACGCAGAGGGTTCACATTTAACATTTTTGAATTTCATATTATTCTTTGATTAATCGATTTGCTGAGTAACTTTTGTTTACAGATGTAAGACATGAAACCACAACTGTTGTTATCTTTAAACAAGGGAATTAAGATATCAAAGAATTGGTTGTTATGTCGGGAAACTTTTGTACCAACCAGTAAACATCATGTCATTATATAAATTATATATAAAACTGAGGTCTCTTTTTCATTCATTGCAAGAGCAATATAACCATTGCAAGTGTTTTCAACCATTATTCTTCCCCACTCTACATGGAATCACTCACAATGAACTTGATTTTGGTGATAAAATTAACAAAGCTATGAGGGTGCTGAAAGCGGTGCTGGAAAAAGCTCAGGTTGTCGTAGCTATTGATCTGATATTCTGGTAACATTTTACGTAGCTTTCTGGGTAATGGTGTGTTGGCTTAATAATTTTTGTTCTTGAATATGTGTGACAGTGTACAGTAGAAAGTAAATAAGATAGTTTCTAGGGGTCCACTGGATCTCGGTTTAGGTCAAAACCTGGAAAATATATGCCAGTCAGACCTCGAATAAATGACTATAAATTGTCAAATAAAATCACTTCCAGTTCTTGCTGAAATGTTTGTTCAGTTACTGGCCAACTACCGTCCAAGCTTGAATTAAACTGGTTCGTGTTCGAACAACATGCAGATACTTCCATATAAAATTGGCAGGCTTAACTGCACAATGTACATAGCCAAATTTGAAAAATAAGGACCAACTTGTACATTTTGAAAAAAGAGCTTACTTTTCAGGTAGTTGCCTCATACATCAAAGCTTACGCTGTGGTAAAGTTTTGATTTTGCTAGTGTAATCTTCCTATTAAGTCACCTCGTCCAACGTAGATGAAAAAAATTGTTAAGCCCCCTCTCTATTAACCCATAAAGTGCCAGCACTCTCCTCTTGGCAAGTAAAATAATGGGGCACATCAGGGCGCAATGCGACCGTATGGGTTAAACATTCTCTATTAAGACGTACAGTATGATATATCACACGAGAAGACATGTTTTGAGATTTATTTATTATATCTGGCTTAAACAAATATTTTTTAACACAATGTATCGTACTTGCAGGGCCTTGCCAACCGATATGTCGCAAAAAAGTTTTAAATGTTTTTAGCACAACCTAAAGTTATAAAATTGACCTAAATCTTGCATATTTCAGGTTTGGGCCCCCTTTTAACAAATTTGATTCCCTTCCTGACTTCTCTTTGGGGGTGTTACGCCCCCACATCCCAGTTGGTCCGACCCTGTGCGCTTGAAATAAGTATCATTAAACCTCCTCCTTCATCCTCCTCTACAAGAGCCCTTAGCCCCCTATCGCAATCTCTATATTACCCCCAAAGTTTCATTACTTTGTTTACCTTCTTCAAAGAATAATAATAGATTAATAAGGAAAAATTTTACAAACTATATATACATCCATATAAGTTATAATTATTACTGCAAGCAGCCATATTGTATTTTTAAAGGTTTTGGTCGTGATAAACAGAGAATCGTGTTATTGTGATGTTTAAAAACATGGCCCTTTTCCATGGCTCTTTTCCTTCTAAGTAGGACAACATTTAACATAATATGGGTTCAATAACATACGGTGCACCACTACATGTCTACAACACCACTCGATCTTGCTACTTGAACACTTAAGACCTCAGGTGGTTTTCTTTTGCACATAATTTTCAGCATCAGCCTAGATAAGAAAAATCCAGCATATTTATAATTATTTTACAATAGCAAATGGCATGTATTTGGTCATTTCAGCAAATGTCCTGACTAAAATCCGTATTTATCTAATAAGTTAATGTGGGTAGTACTACAAATCATAAATATTAGGTTTAACATTGAGCAGCATTGCGTCCTGATGCACGGCATGCACCCCGCGGGCTGAAATTACCATGGCTTGGCAGGTTGCATGCACCCTACTTTATTATTATTTTACTCTGTCTAATGCCAGGCTATTTTACTCATTGAAGGGAAAGTGCTGCGCTCGATGAATTAATCCGAAATCTGCTGATATGTCTAGTTACCCATTGCATTGCACTCTGATGCATCCTTTTATTATTTTACACTGCCTAAAAACAAGACAATTGTACTTATCAATGGAAGAGCATGCCAGCTCAATGGGTTAACCTTTTGAGTGGCATTGTCCTTATTAAAGTGCCTACCTTTAGTTATACCCATCAAGGGAACTAGCACTCATGGGGTTAGATAATATAAACTTTTTGTCAGTGCTTGATGCTGAACTTTTGGAGGGTGCTGGAAAGGTTGGCTGTCAGGCTGTGCACTCACACTCTTGTCCCTTGTAGATAGCTGCTATTTCAAAAACCCGGCAAAACTAACACTTAAAAACGCATTAAATCAATAAACAATTTTAAAGACAAACACAAACCGAAGTACCATAAAATCCAAGAAATGAGTTTAATAAAACAAGAAAAGAAAGAGTTTGTCAAGGAAAACTTGCATAAATTACAATTTTAATGTAAAAATGAAAAAAACTGCTGTAACTAGTACTCGCAGTTTTAATACAGCATCGGGTTTTGACATATCCACGAGTTTTAAAAATAAACAGTATATGGCAACGTTGCCAAGCGAGAAAGTAAAAAAATTCGCGAATCTTACCGGTAATATTCTCCTTTTAGAGCCAGAACAGGCACAGCAAAAATGCATCGTCTTTCTCGACTTTGTAAAACATGCAAAATCGATGAAAAATATAAAGATTTTCTGTTCAAAAACAAACTATTTTAATTACAAACCAAAATATTTTATATTTGGAAAAAAAACAGGGGGGTGAAAGATATTGTTTAAAGCGTAGGATCGCGGTTGGGCAGTGGTAATTACCATAAGACCTAAGAACCAGTAGTCATGGCAATGGCGTAAGATCCTCCACTTTTTGGCTTCACTTGAATGACTGGCGGAAAGATAGGAGCACCTCCTCCAATAATATTATAGCTCAGTGGTAGGTAGTGCCAATGATATCAACAAGCTTTCTAAGGCTGTAACTACCTGTAAGATATAAGAAGAATTGTAGTGTACAACAGGTAGTTGCATCTCTACCAACGAACGCTTGTTTATGTTGCAATATTCTTTCAGATGAGGAAAGTGTACGAAAAAAACGACGCTTATGTTGCGATAGAAGTAAAAAAAATGACGTAAGATTTTATTAGATGCTACACAAATTTTATTTTAAGATAAAGTATTTTCTTCTTAATGTTTTAAAATTAAAATCCTGAATTCATTATTATCTGCATTTTATGAGCATACAATATTTAACATTTACATGTATTTTACATTAGCCTGTCCCTTCCTGGTAGTTGTTATTTTAAGGTCCATAGCAGAGCCTTGAGGTTAACAAAAAGATTCGGTCGGTACGATTCTTTTTTAGCACGGAAATTTGGCTTCGACCATGCGCAAAAGAGACGTTATAGTTTCTGTTTCCGACGTCTCGCTGCTTCGGAAAATAACAAAATGTCTGCCAAAGAAAGATTTCTTAATATTCATGTTGAGCGCAAAGAAAGGCATTCCATTTATTTCAGAGTGTATATGTTCTTGTACTCTGTCCCATAATCAATTGAGATGTTTTTGTTACATTTAACTTGTTATAACTGAACCGAGGTTCATGTACTCCCAAAAGACTGGAACCAAGATAAAAATTTCAGGAAGTGCACAGCTCCAGTTCACAGAAGTTGAGCGGCATTTTTATTTTAGGAATGGAAGTGTTATCGCAGAAATGGAATTGGTATTCACCGACAAAAACACGAAAGGCATTAGCGAGTTATTGGAAGCCGTAAGAAACAATTCTTTTGGTGATTTTAAAGTTGAACCAAATGCTCTTACAGTTGTAATCACAGGTACATGAATATATCTAAGGTGATAGTTTCATCTAAAAAATTGCACGTTTGTCGTCTCAAGTAGTGTGTTCACATTTTTTTTAAACTTTCATATGAAACAGTAAAGTTATTTTATCTTGTACAGCGCATAAAAGGAGTGAAATGTGTTTATGAATTAAAAATAATTGGATAGGGATACTATACTACCCGAAATTAGAGATATTAGGGATACTATACTACCTGAAATTAGAGATATTAGGGATACTATACTACCTGAAAGGAGAATTTCCACGTTTCGAGCGCAGGCTCTACTAACTTTCCGAAGAAGGATCTTATATAAAAATATTAAAAAAAGGAATGATAAAATAAATGTTTTATTATGTGCATAATGTGACAATGCAGACTAAACTAATATTTCATCTCACAGGAACATGTGAATCTCACAAATGTCCTGGAAATTCAACATGTGAACAATTGACGTCTGACACAATATCATGTCCTTGTAATGACGGATATTATTTTGACGGAGCAAGCTGTATAGGTACAGTAAAAATCATCATATTTTAGAAAAGAAATTCGGTTCATGCTGGAAATGCTGCAGGTATAGGTCATACATTCGAAAGTTAAAGTTGGAATTTATTGTATATTCTAGCTATAGCCTGCAATCTGTCGGCTGATAAAAGGCTAGAAAGACTAATAGGATAATATTTTATTAATCTGCTACATTGTATCATATAATTTTTTCTGTTTTTCTTGACATTGTTTAGCATTCTGTCATGCGGGATCATACACATCCTTATAGGCATAATCAAGAGTTTATGCATGCGAATATTACCGAAATCAGTCGAGTTTCTTTTCCGGAAGTTACATAACACCTTCATGTTTTATGTCGTCACGGTGAAGGAATGCATTGTAGATTGTAGAACTCGTATGTTAATTTTTTTTATTTACTTTATTTATGAAATTTGCTGTGTTGGTGTAATGTACTCAGGTGAATAAGATATTTGTGTGATGTACTCTGAGTGTATATTCACACCTGGCAGGCTTGAAAAATATGCTTGCCCACGGTGGGAATCGAACCTACGACCTACATACATACATACATACATACATACATACATACACTTTATTTCAACACGGAAGAATCATCAGTACAAGAATAAAATACACAAATTTAAATACATACAATGTTAGTCAAAAGATAAAAATAATAATTACTGTTTTACATGATTGCCGTGCAAGAGTCCATATACTCAGTATACTATAGGAAATTAGTCAATTCGACTTTGAATGAATTGAGAGAAGGGTCTGATCTGAGTTGTTCTGACAAGCTGTTCCACAGAGAAGCACCACTGTAGCTGAAAGAACGTTTTAAATAGTCTGTTCGAGGTTTTGGAACAGACAATTTATTTAGAGAATTTCTCAGATCATGATTGCTCACTTTGGGTGTAAATAACTTTTGGAATACTAGCCCAATGCTCTACCAACTGAGCTACGCGGTCAGGCTACGCGGTCAGAGTAACATCACACAAACATTTTATTCACCTGAGTACATTACACCAACACAGCAAATTTCATGATTATTAGATTACACTGATATCGAAGGAACTAGACTGAGTTCCGAAGTACCGCATACTCGAACCGTCCTGACCGCGTAGCTCAGTTGGCAGAGCATTGGGATAGTATTCCAAAGGTTGTAGGTTCGATTCCCACAGTGGCCAGGCATATTTTTCAAGCCTGCCCGGTGTGGATATACACTCAGAGTAACATCACACGAACATCTTACTTTATTTAGTTTGCATTTTTCTTCTCCCAGTGCCTCCCCACGAACAAAGGTTCTACCTATGCTCGAAAGCTTGGTTTGCTCTTGGCGAGCCATTGGCAATTTGTCAAACTAAATAAAGTTATTAATAACTAAAATAGCATACAATTTCCAAAACATGAACGTTTCTACTTTCTTCTGACCGTCTTTTCGACGTCCGGAAAAGACACTCTACTGATTTCCGTAATACCACTCTATCTGTTCTGTAAATTTCATTTCGCTCACCATAACAAAAACATTGTTATTTATTTATTCACCCAGAAGGAAGTGGCTGGATACTAATTATATTTGTTCTGATATTGTTGTATAAATTATCAATTGGATTTCTGTTTCAGCGTTTATCGTGATAAAAGTTGAAGTAGCTTTGGAGAAAGAGTTTACTGAAGAGCTAACCAACAAGTCTTCGCCAATTTATCAAGAGTTGGAAAGAAATATCACTGAAGAGGTAATTACAGATAGAATATTGTTGGAAAATCGCCATTTATTAGACAGTTTGCGCAGCTCCGTTAGAACAAATATTTAAGTCTGTTAGGCCTAGTTGCTGATAATTTGAAATATCTAGGTTCCGCAGTGCAGCTGTAAGGGGCAGGGTTTTTTTATTAACTTTACAATCAAATGACTGATGCATGGTACATAAGGACAACGGGCGTGAGTCCCTAATTAAGTCCCATCAAAAACTTACATTACATAATTACTTATATAGGTATTACAAGAATACGTATTATATACATAAACATTAGGGTATACAACAATTATAATTACATCTAACGTATAAACAACAGTTTGTACGGAAAGAACAACAATAACTGCACACAATTTTCCACGTTCTAGGAAAGAACGATTTACAAAAACTGGATGATCACTTTTGTTTACGCAGGCAATCACAGAGCACATTCAAAATGTGGAGTTGATTATATTCTATTCGTGAACAACTTTTTTAGATTACATATATCTAAATTTATCGTCCTTCATTGAAGGCGATAACTCTACCCTTAGGAAAATCTGGGGTTGGTATGCAAAATTTATTTCACGAGCAAAATTTTATTTATTTGTTGCATTGGAACAGTAAATAATATACATGTGCGAACAGATTGTCAAGCGAAATGGAATAAATATATGATTAATTCATTGACTCGTATTGATATACTTTGTTATTTTTTAAGCTATATAAAAAATTTAAAGACACAGAAAACTTTGAAAAAGTAGTTGTCTTGGGATTCAGGTAAATAGAAGAAGGCCAGGTTCAGACGACAAACTCTTCATACGTTGAACATCATGTCCTCATGATCAAACTAAATACCGCAATTGATTTGGACGTTGGGCTAAAATGTATCGTGACAAATGACAGTATATCATAAATTTCAGTGATAAATTGCTAATAAACGCCGTTAATATATGATTTACGTTAAACAATTTACGGATTAGGTTGGGCGCATGAATCGTCTAAACCCATATCGATTGTCAAATGCTCAAATCTGTGTCGCATAATACGACGTGACGTGCCGTATTTTGCGCCGTGTTGAAATTAATAAAAACTTGCCAAATTCAATTGATTTAGACGCAACTCTTTTGTTATAATTGTTGCACTAGGTGCCGCGCATGAACAGTCCCCGTTTCAAAACAAGACCTCAACTCAGGATATAATTTCCAACGATTGGAGGAGGGAAGCTAGCGATGTGTAAAAAGGAAAGCATCATAATAGCAGATACAGCAACTGTATAAAATACAAAGCAACTACAACTTTTCTGTACGTCTGATAAGCAGGGGTGTACTCACCCCTCTGTTTTCTTGGGCCAGCGAAACGCTGTTATCTCAATCTGTTTTTGTTAATATGAAAGTGCCATATTTGGTATATTTTATGTCAGATATTAAAACATGACGGGGTTGTGATAGGGGTCTTGACGCCCTATTCTCCTCCCCCGTGGCTACGCCTCTGATTAGAAGATAAAAAGTTTCCATATGGTTGACTAGATCCTTAAAATCCGGTATGTCCCGAAGACATGATGGGACCGATACGGCAACTACACTGATTCTTAAAATATTCCTGATGGAAACAATAGACTGTGGTGTCAAAATATAATTATGTCGCCATTGACAATGTTCAGGTTTCGGGGTACTTTAATTTAGGACGCTTAATTAATTAGCTATGTCACTGTCTTTCATTTTTTAGGAGTGGGTCCGTTATTGTTGAATTTGAAGTTGTTTACCGAAAAGATGCGAATAACAAGAAAATTATAGTTGGAGAAACCGTAAGAGATCAAATTATTAAAACTGGGAAACTTGGAAAATATCAAGTGAAGAGTGGTGTCGTTCAAGGTAAAACTTTATCTTGTTTATACAACCTCGTACCCAGGTTCTCAATCTTCGCCCCTACCTCGCTTGAATTGAGACCCTGGTATCGGCTGGGCACGTGATCCGTCATATTTTGGCGGATTTGCTCAATTGTTTTAGGGAAAGTATAGTAAGTAGATATTGTAGTAAACATTAATATTGTTAAAATAACGTTACAAAACAAAACATCTCAGTTACTGTCCTTTCCCTAAAAAGAATTAAGCAAATCGGCCAAAATATGACGGGTCATGTGACCAGCCGATACCAGGGTCTCAATTCAAGCGAGGTAGGAGCGAAGATTGAGAACCTGGGTACGAGGTTGTTGCTTATCTTGCTTCAAGAAACAGACTTGTTAACTGTACAGGTCAATGTAAAATTACTTTATGCATTATTTTTCAATTAGGTATAGTTAATTTTGGAAAATAGTCCTACTTTTTCTTAGTAGTCTACTAGTCTAATTGAAAATTTTGAAGCATCTGATTTTACACCAGTCCGAGTCTTAATGTTTTAGTTTTCTGTAATAAACTATGACAGTTAACTAGAAAACATGGCTCATGCATTTATCCCCGAGCCGACGGCGCAAAGCGCCATGCGAGGGTACTAATTCCCCCCGGTTATTTACACCCGAGGAAACGAAACCATTAGCGAAATCTAAAGTTCATCAATTATCGCGGGCGTGGATGACCAACGATGTTGGGGTGGGTGGTCATCCTCACTGATCTCAAAAAGGTCCAATTTAGAGTTTGATTATAACGACTGCATACGACAGCGAAATAGCAAACATTTCCTGATTTGATGATTGGTAAATTTCTTGCAAATATATTTCATTTTTGCTCGCATTTTTGCAAGATTTTGTAAATTTCAAAAGCTCTCTCAGAAAGAAGCTGCGAAAGAATCGGCTAATAGAAGGGAGCCGACGTTAACGAAGGTAAGTTCGTTTTAAATATTGATTTTATAATGGTTTTAAAATTAACCCGACGGCCTTTGCGTATATGAAACAACTAAACAAGACAGCATATAATTTCAGTGTAACTTTAATATTGATTCCCTTTTTTATGATATTGAATTTTTTAAATAGAAAAGAAAGGAAAGTTATTTGCAATCAAGAATTTGAAATCACTTTATTGCAAACTCAAAGTTTATGATGTTTATCGATAAAGCCATTTTAAAAGGCAGTTTAGTTTCATAAAGAACACTAGTGACTTTAAAATGTTTTGCGTAGCGTTTGTGGTTGAATTTTACCTTAACTTGAGGCTTATATTACGTATAATAACATACTTAACATGTATATGTTGGGAAATTGATAATTTTGTAATTAAACGTGATATTTTAGGCGATTTTTCATTTGTAAGAATATTCTTAAAGTTATTGTGTTACCATAACAACTACTTTAGATACTTCATGTTCGGAAAATACAATGGTTTTGTCAGCAAGGCGAGGGTTTCTGCATGCATGCATGCATGTATTTTCTAGTGGTAAAATAATAAACATCTATATCACTATGTATGTTAAATCGTTAAAATATTTTTTAATATTATACAAAGGAGTCTAGGAAACGTTTGGAGAATGCAAGAGAAACGTCTAAACACACACCAATGACCATAAACACACGAAACGAATTTCTCTATTCCTTTTACAATATAAGTAAAAGATATTACACAGTAAATTATTTGATTGTAAAGATCGATTTTGAAATTCTCCTAACGTGTCATCAATGACATTAGCTTCTGCAAAAATGACCAATTGCTAATGTTTAGACGGTTAATTATTAGTAGCGATTGATACACCGGGTTAATTATTCGGTTAATTATTTTTTACGCAAAATAGTTTTATTATTGTTTACGAAAAAAGTTATTCAGGAAAATGTTGATCATATGAAACTACGAAAAATATCCTTGGCTCAGTTAAAGAACTTTTTCTTCAATAAATTTAATTAGGGACAGTCACATTTGGTTCATTTTCTTGCATAAAACTATTCCTTGCACATGTAGACTGTGATTATTTCTAGTTTTTAAGTTGTCACATTCGTTGTTTTGCTTGTATTTTCACAGAAAACTTGCAAAGCATCAAAGTTGCTCCTTGTCGCTTCCATTTTTAGTTTTTGTCAACCTTCGAACACTTGACAGTTGTACGTTCGCAAGGCAAATTTCAGTAAGGTTGATGCATGTGCAGACATTTTCCAGCAGTGTTGTTGTCAGTCCATCAGCTTAAATTTTTAAATTTTATGAGAGCGAAGAGCAAAATTAATACAAAATTTTGATGTTGAATTTGACGTATAAATTGATTAAAGTTAAGTTATGCCCAAAACTTGAAGCAGATGTGATGTAGGCTGTGCAGATTTGTTGATGCGCAGGACCCAAAGAGAAACGAAGTGAAGGTATACACCTTGAGGTATAGTGGGATTCGATGAATTCGGGAACCATTACTCAAATTCTACTTGACAATGTTTTACATGCATATTACACAACGTGTGCACTTTATGCGGCCCGTTTGACCTCGAACGACCAAATCGTGCAATTTTGTAAACGACTTCCAACAATAAACCAGCAATTTTAATCTATTATATAACTTTCCACAGAGGTGAACCCAAATCAATACAAAAAATATTTAAAATGAATAATGAAGCAGAACGCTGATAAACACTTATAAAGGTGATGTCCACTCCGTTCAGCGCATCAGTTCGGCTCATAACAAAGGGGGACCCCCACATAAAAACATTGCCCAAAATTTGCATCTTGAATTGATGCGTACAGTTTATGTTCATTTACAAGTGTAGCGAACCAGAAAAGTGTTAGATATTCAGTTAGTATATCATATTTTACAAATATAGCAGTTCAAAACGTTAACAAAGTCCGCGCATGTGCACAGGAGTGGATATCATCTTTAATACAATGTTGCACTGGACAACGAGGATTTGCATTATTCATTGATCCATTTTATAGTACGTGGATAATTACCAGTAAATATTGAGGCTCATGATGTAGATTAATCATTTTGATATTTGACTGTTCCAGGACGTCCGCCACCACCAGCTGGAATTAAAGATACTGGTAAAACAGATAACAGTATTGACATCAGCTGGGAGAGACCGAAAGCTTACAGTGCATTTGTCATAAATGGATACATAGTTAGTCACAAGACTGGCGACGAGACACATTACAAGAACAATAATATTTCGGCGACATCGGGAACGTTAAATATGGTATTAACTGGTCTCGAGAGTGATACAATTTACGAGATTACGGTTCATGCTTATAATGATGATGGGGACGGGGATAAACTTAAAAC